AAAACGAACACCCGAATTCATTATACTAAGTCTAATTCAGGTGTCTGGATTCAAATCTCTATTGCTTCACATGACAACAAGTTATAGTCACTACACTTTACACTAAATCCTATGAAGGGCTTTGAAATGTTAAAGGCACCACGTTAAATGCAAAGATTATTTTATTATTAGTTACAATAATCTTCTCTCAAGGTTAGAAATCAACGGAGAGGAAATGGTAACATAAACTAGTTGGATCTATAAACTAGAAGTACAATGCCAACACTTGCGAAGGCGCGGTCGAAGAGGGATATGAGACATGCTTTGAATGAAGGAAGGGAGGGAGCAAGACGACAGGACTGTGGGATGGAGTTCCAAAGGGTGGAGCAGAGAGGTTGAAGGCTCGACCACCGATGGTGGGTCGGGGCGGGCCGGGCGGGGGATGTGGAACAGCCCAGAGCTTGTTGAGCGCAGGGAGCAGACAGGTTGATATGACGTTAGCAGGTCACAGAGGTAGGAAGGAACAAGGCCATGGAGGACTTTGAACTCTATCCTCTGGAGGATTGGGAGCCAGGTGAGGGTGGGGGTAGTCGGGTCACAGAGCCCGGTGCAGGCAGGCAGACAGGCAAGTATGACCTGAATACATAGAGAACCCTTTATCTAAAGGACAAGACCTCACAAGATCAGCCAAACTGATCTCATTCCTTCAGAATACCTATCTCACTGTTCTCCAATCACAGCATCAAGCTGTTTTTTAAATGAGTCGTGTCTCAGCCTCAACCACCCTTCCTGGCAACCTGTTCCAGTCATCAATTACCCTTGTAGCAAAGATAAACATTCTGGTGTCTGTCCTGAAATTACCGAGGTCCTCTGACATTGGACCACTCCCTCTGTACAGGAGATATTCCCAGGATTTTGAGTTCAAGACTATTATTGCATCTTACAGAATATTATGGACCATCTGGCTCCCCATCTCCGAACAGATTGAAGGTCCTCAGTCTCACATATAAACCCCTTCAAAATCTACCTCTCTGATTTGTTTGTACTCCACTCTTCTGCCCCGACCTCTACCCTCAACTAACATGATTATGCCTTATGTGCATCCCCCACCCGTCCACACAAACATTCAGTCACTATGTCCCTAACTTCTGGAATTCTGTCGCCTCACCCTCTCTATCTTCAAATCCTATCTCAAAACCTTCCTTTTTGACCCTGCCTGTGTTGCTTCCCCCCCACCGCCCAACCACACCATTGGGAAGTGCTCCAAGACATTATTCTACATACTGTCATTGATCAAAGTCACCAAATGTGAGAAGCACCCTAATATGAGTCAGGTGACACCAACATCATTAACCAAGCACATCACAACACAGCAACAAGCAGTCCATTCTATTTTTATATTTAAGATTAATTTAACTCTCACTCCTTCTGATCAGCTTCTGCTTCCAGGCTACTTTCCCAGCTGATTCCCGATCAAACTGAGCAGATCTTCACCCTCAAATATAAATCCCTTCACAAACAACTTCTCTGATCCGCTCTAACCCTACCCTCAGCTAACACAAGCTTGCTGTGCAGTCCCCACCCAGCGTTTTTTTTTGCAGAGAAAAAGAAAAGCAATGCATGCATTATATAAAGAGATGGGCCATAATATTCTGTTACATGAAAAATGAGGGGAGGGGGTAGCAAGGAGTTAAGGCCCAATTGCCTGACTACCAGAAGCACAGTGGCATAACTTACATCCATGTTGTTATCTGACTTCACACAAAACAGCAGGAGAACTTTCCGCTGTGATTTTTGTCTGATGTCAGAAGCAGCTGATCCTTATTGCTGGAGGCGTGATTTTTATGCTCAGAACAGAATGATACAAAACAAGTTAAATGAGCAAACAAAGTGAGGTGAAGTGATGGGATTGTTAAGAGGTCGAATGAGGCATTTTATCAGGATCTTGCTTGGTTCTGGGTCATATCTGCCCCTGTAATTTACCCACAGACTCTCCTTTATTTCCTCTACAATGGGGCTCAGCACAATGTTTCTACATCAGGAATCTGATGCAGATTCTTCCCGGCATCTGAAAGGTTGCAGCTTCTAAACTTTTTTTTAAAGATGGGTTACACATCTGGTTTCAACATTTTTCCTCATGGCAATGGAATTAAATACAACATCTGTATTTTAATTGTCCTGCTTTCAACTTCTCATCATCTCCTCCAAATAAACAGTTTGTTTGTATTGCAGGACTCTGCAGAGCACAGAAGCCAGCTCCATCCATCAGAGCTGCTCTGTTATTGACTATTATGAAGGGCTCTTGCCCTTCAAGATATTCTGATTCCTCTTCTTGCCCCAGATGGAAAGCAACAATATAATGAAATATTCCATCCCCATCTTGGCCAAGTTGGTAGCACTCACCTCTGGGCCAGAATGTGTGGATTCTAACCCTATACTTAAGACTTCAGATGGTAGTCTAAGCTGATTCTCTAATAATAATAATACTTACATTTGATATAGCGCCTTATCACGTCTTTCAGACGTCTCAAAGCACTTCACAGAATATACTGTAAAGTGAATTGATTGTATATATTTTGTGGGCAAAATGCGGCAGCCAATTGCGCACAGCAGTGTCCCACAAACAGTCGTGGATTTAAGTGACCGTATTATTATANTTTTTTAAAAGAATTATTGCCCCCAGGAAAAGCGATATGCCAATCGACTAACAACCGGGTTCCTACTTACTGCTAGGTTAACAGAGGCGTGTGGAGTAAGGAAACTTGCCCAACATTTCGCCCTGCCAGGAATCGAACCCAGGTCTCTCGCTTGCTACAGGAGTAATGCAGTGTTGGGGGCTCGAACAGTGCTTTATCGGAGGTTCTGCATTTGGAATGGGATGTTAAATCAAGATCCTGTTTGCCTGTTCTCAGGTGAGCATTAAAGATCCCATGGCACTATTTAAGAGAAGGGAGTTTCTCCTGGCATGACATGAATCCTTCATGACAGAATTGGTCACTCTCATTTCATCTGGCTGTCTGTAGGACCTTGATTAAAAATGTAGTAACACATAACAGGAATTTACCCGAGAAGAATTTTGGGATGTTTCGATGTGATAAAACAGTACAAACACGTGCATTTTTAAGCCATCTGCGGAGAATGTCACCTACACAAGCTGCAGTGAGAAAGCATTACTTGCTTACCTAAATAACACAGCGCCTTGGGACGCCCTCCTGACGTGAAAGGTGCTATATAAATGCAATTTGTTGTTGTTGTACCCACTCACACACACAATAAAGGCTGAATTAAAAGTTAACAGCATTCTGAAGAATAATAGTCCTTGTATTTTATAAAGCAGCTATTTTATCAAAGCACTTCACAGAATTTTCTGTCAAGTGTAGTGAATATTTTATAGGTGAATCTGGCAGCCAATTTGCACACAGCAATGCCCACAAATAATTATGAAGTGTTCAACAGTTCAATTTGGAAGATTGTCAGGATTTTTTCTTATATTATCTACACATGGTTAATTTTTCCTGCATATTCCATATTTAAACTGCAAGTTATTTAAAACCCTGATGCACAGAGAGTGGTCGCTTAATAATGAGTCCTTTTAGGCCTCATTAAGGAAAAGGAGAAACAGACAAAGGGAATAAATTAAATAAACATGAACAGAGCAAAACAACAAACAAAAGGAAGAATAAGAAATTAAATCAAATAAGGAACAAATTATTGAAAGTGAAGAATGGAGAAATAACATTAAGTGGAGCCAACAAAAGAGTGGACATTTTGACCCGTCGTGTAACAAACAGCAAACCAATTCTACATGAGATTAAATTGTGATCAGGAGTTTCTCCACATGACGTTACCAGTGGAATTGCGGTTTTAGCAAAACAGCAGTATATTTGTCATAAAACTTCCTTGCCTGAACAAGCCAGTGCTGATAAGAATTATCATTAGCAATTTCAAGTAAGGCTCGGCAACTACACAATACGAGACCTGGCTCACCATCAACCGTCCAATACTAGGCTCAGCAGAGCAGCAATGATGGAGTCTAAGCATCAACCAAGCAAACTATTTTGGCTCAGATCAGAAAATTGCTCTTTTACGTTCAATGCTTATCAGTTTTTATCAACATCTAGGATGGGGCGAAGCTGATGCCAACAGGTGGACTCTGGGAGTGCAGTGCGTTACCTCATGTAGCGATAACCGGAAACAGTGACCTCAACCCCTGTCCGCCTGCTCGGCTTTATTCAATTTATCCCAAGAAACTAACAACTTTGGTTGCTTCACACAGAAAATATGAATTTGAAAGTTGCAAAGAGTCAAGAGCGATCAAAGGTTTTTCTTAAAAGATCTGCTGAGTAGGAGCGAGGTTAGCATCGCCACACAGGCCAGGCAGCAGGACAAGTGGGTACAGGTCTGTGAAGGATCATCTTTACACAGAATAATCAAAGCTGGAGCAGGTTACCGGGAAGTGTGTTGAAGCCAGGGCACTGGATTAATTCAAAGTAACAGCTTAAGGCTGGGAAGACCACATAGGGTTATTCTGAAAGGATGAGATCAAATGAGCCACAAGGAGCCTTCTTCATCCAAAGCTCTCTTTTGATCGCTATATGCTGAACAAGAGCACTTCCACAGTGCGGGGCTGCACCATTGGCAGATGTGGGCGTAAACCACTCATTCTGAATCAGACCAAATCAGACTGAATCAGACAAACTGGAGATCCAATAAATACAAGTCTGAGGATGGTGTGAAGTTACACACACCCCACTGACCTGTGCATTTATGTCAATTTTGCATAGCCTCCAGAGCAAGGAAAACCACTCAAATATGTCGAGGTTATTTGCCTGAGTATTGGAGCGTGTCCAATTAATAGATGCCCCTGAAATGTTGGATCTATTGCAAAGCAATCATGGATCTCGAACGTAGCTCCTCTTTCAAGCAAATCCGCTCTCGACCTCAGATAAAACCGATTCCCACTGTATAATGTGCTCTGCGGGTCTTGGCCCTGGGAGCTGTCCTGTGGAGCTGGTGATTACCTGGCACACTGCATCGCAGTATCTTGCCACCTTGCACTGGGAACATCGGAGCAAGCTTTCCTTCCTGTGAAGATAAAGAGAATTAATTTAAAAAAACATGACAACTTTACAGCTTGATTTAATGATGTGCACGACTTCTAGGGCTTTTTTTAGAGAGGAGGTTAGCTTGAAATGTTTATCAAGTTTTAAAACAGTACAGTGACTGATAAAAGGAGANTTTTTTAAAGAAAACAACACTGTTAAAGTGAAATTGTCTGGTTTGGATTAACATATGACAGTCGATTTTAAAAATAAATTCCACAGTGACTCAGATACGAACCATGATCCTGATCATTTGGCCGACCACCCACAAATCCAATTTAATTTTCAAGCATCCCGGTGACATTCACCAGTCAACAAACAAGAACCCAAGAAAAATACATAAATCTACATGTGGTCAGATTCACTGAAACAGGAAGAGCAATCGTATTGACTTTCGAAAGCAATAGCCCTCTAAAGCTCCGAGACGCTATCCTGAGTGAAGGGTAGTGCTCTGCGGATACAAGTGCAAGTTGGCATTGTTGTCAAAATTGCTCCTGTTCAAAAGGTTGAATGAGACGATCTGGAGAGTTAAACTGCAACTTGGAAATGTAATAATAATCCTTGCGTTTGATAGAGCTCTTGCTTTATCACCTCATCAAGATGTCCAGGATTTGACTGTCAAGTGCAATCAATGACTGAGAAATTCAGGATTGTTAGCAGAAGAATTAGGTGAGAAGTAAAGAATTATCTTTACTCAAAGGCTTTAGGGTGTGGAATTCATCCGCTCAAGTGGCTGTTGAGGCTAGATCAACAGTATCAATCAAAAGGAGAGTGGATAAGTACTTGACAAGTAAAATCATAAAGAGATGTGGGCGGGATGGAGGAAGTGGGATTAATAAAAAGGATAAACGAAAAGCAAAATACTGCAGATGCTGGAAATCTGAAATTTCAGATCATTGACATGAAATGTAACTCATTTTCCTCTCTCAATAGATGCTGCTGAGTGTTCCCAGTGACTTCTGTTTTTATTATTAACTAGCTATACATGTTGCAGCTACGCTTGCAACCAGTTTAATTTAAACGGCCTTCTCTCTTTCATCTGGCGTTTTTATTTGTCCTTGAAAGGCTTGATTTTCACTTCTTAGGGAACTTTATCCTTTAAGATTAAAAAAATGTGCTATTGAACTCGTTAGCATCCCTTGTTCATATATTTCCACACATATCCTTCTGGGAGGATTCCTGTGGGAGAACTCCTGTGGGGAGGACTCAGTGGGAAGACTCATTGGGAGGACTCCTGTTAGGAGCAGTCTTGGTTGGCAGGATTCCTAACGGGCGTGTGACCCTACTTTGTTGCAGAATACCATACACACCTTTTTGGGGGCTTAATTAAAGTATTTTTAAATATATCTTTTAATATAGCTCATCAACGATAGGAGATACCCGAAATAAAATATGCCCATGATGCTCCACCCTGCAAGATGTTTCCGATGAGATATAAATCATGCTATTACATCAATCGGTCATTGCGTGTTTGGTGGACACACAGACAGACATTTTGTCTTTATTAATATGATAGATAAAATGGGTGATTCAACCTGATAGAGGTATTTAAGGTTATGAAAGCATTTCATAAAGTGGATCTGGATAGGCTGTTTTCACTTTTTGAACCTAAATGAGAGGGCATATATAAGGGGTACCCACAACTAACACTTGTTCTCCCTCCCCCAGCACCTTCCCATCCAGCGCAGGAGATGCATCACCTGCCCGTTCACCTCCTCCCATGCCACCATCCAGGGCCCTAAACACTGCTTTGATCCATCCACAAGTGCAACCCTGAGCTTCCGGTTGCTTGCCATTTTAATTCTCCTTCCAACTCCCACTGTGATCTATCTCTCCTTCCACGGCCTCCTACGCTGTTCCAACGAAACATAACGAAACAAGCTCAAGGAACAGCACCTCATCTACCTCCTAGTCACCTTACAGCTCCCTGGCCTCAACTTGATTTTAACCACTTCAGACCTTATACACAGCTGCCATCTTCTCTCAGCCTTATCTGTAAACATCCATACATCCTCTGGGTCCCGGACACATCTTTTCTTTCTATAATCTGCCACTAGTGCCTTCTTTTGTCTTGCACCTCAACACCTCTATCTCATCATGTACTGTCCACCTAATGTTTTCCTTTGTTGTTTCTTTCCCCAGCCCCCTTCTTTGTTTGTCCATATAAACTGCTCCCTTCCAACATCCCCCAGTTCTAACGAAAGGTCATCAACCTGAAACTCACTTTCCTCTCTCCATAGATGTTGCTGAGTACTCCCAGCGACTTCTGCTTTTATATTATATATCGGGTAGCCGGCAGCTAATCCAATTGGGAGTTTAGGAGGAACATCTTCAAACAGAGGGTGGTGAGAATGCGGTACTCACCGCTGGAAACTATGGTTGAAACAAATGCCATCAATGTTTTTAAAATGAATCGTGGTTTCACACATGAAGGGTACAGAGGGTCATAGAAGTGAAAAATAAGATGGGTAGAGCATAAAGATAGTACAGATTACTTGGGCCAAATGGTTTATTTCCATGCAGCATCAATCTTTTTTTTGTGTAGAATTAGAAACTGACAGCATTGGGACAATGGACCTAGTGGCCTCCTTTATATGTTGAAAATGCTAACTTTTCCACTTGTGGCAATCAATTCAACATGCAATCAACCCCGGTCAACTTTCCTTCTAAACACTCACCTAATTCTTTGGCTAACTGTCTTGCGCCTGTGCCTCTGGTCACCATTTCGCCCACAAATAGATTCAATTCACTTTACAGTATATTCTGTGAAGCGCTTTGAGACAACAACAATTTGCATTTATATAGCTCCCCCCACACATGGTAATGTCCCAGAGATGTCTGATGACGTGAAAAGGTGCTATATCTAATGTAAGGATTATTATACACCTCCTGGGTGGACATTTGGAACAAGCCTTGTTTGAATCAAAATGATGTTTCCAACTAGCGTTGACAATTATTAGGTTATTCGTGCTGATACACAAAAAGGGGAAAAGTAAATCGCAAACCAAAACAGTCCTCGTATCTAAATTCATCACCACAACTTGGTTCTCACTGCTACCTCATCAGTGTCTTATCTGGAGAGAAGTTTGAGCCAAGAGCACAATCTACAGCTAACAATAATACTACTAATAATGATCCTTGCATTTGATACAACACCTTTCACGTTAGGAGGATGTCTCAAAGTGCTTCACATGACATACCTCAAAATATATCTCACACAAAAAATCCATGACTGTTTGTGGGACACTGCTCTTCGCAATTGGCTGCCGCATTTCACCCACAAAGCACAGACAACAAATTCTGTGAAGCGCTTTGAGACAGCAAGAACAACTTGCACTTATATAGCGCCCTCCACACAGGGTAGCATCTCAGCGCACTTAGTGGCAGAGCCTGGCTCTGAGCCAGGGGAAGGTGAGGTGGCCGTAAGTAGTCACCGATGAAGGTCTTTAGGCGGGAAATGAAAAAGGAAAGGGAGGAGGCAAGGCGGAGGGATTAAGGGAGTGTTCCAGAGCTTCTAGGCTTAGTGGTAAAAGCGCCACCTCCAATGGTGGGGCGGAGAGTGCGAGGGACGAGTAGGAGGCCAGTGCCAGTCAAGCGGAGGCAGCGGGTGATGGATTGGGGAGTGAGGAGGTCTGAGAGGTAGGGAGATAACAGGGAGTGATTTGAACATGAATGTGAGGATCTTGAAGTTGATCTGTTCGGTGATGGGGAGCCAGTGGAGCCTGGCCAGAACTGGTGAGATGTGGGTCAGAGTTTGGTCCAGGAAAGTATGCGGCATCTTAACTGTGATAAGGCGCTATAATAAATGCAAGGATTCTTATTATTATTATTGTTATTATTATGTATTAAGTGCAATGACTGAGTTTTCCAGGCAAACTGATCTATAATGCCGGGTGATTTTTACAGTTCAAATGCAAATACCAATTTCACAATTGTGTTTTGCTGGAACTCCATGGGCGACAAGGGTTACATTTTATTATATTATAAACAGCAGAAATAAAATAACAAACTGAGACAAGATGACAAAAAAAGACTGAGAATTAGATAATAAAACTTATTACAAGCCTTGTGAAAAGCTTGTTCATAAGAAAAAAACCCTGAAAAGTTTGCTCAACTTTTGAGCCGCTTAATAATCTTCAGATGGAAATGATTTATGTAGGAGTAATCAAATGGTATTATATTAAATTTAATAAAGCATGGTGCTGAACAATGACATGGATAAAACCTAACTTCCATGCTTAAGTTAATCAAATCCTTTCATTCTCCTGGTTGCTCGGATCAGAATATTTTTAATGGAATAAATTACAACCATTTTTTTCATTACAACACACACTTTATGAGAGGCAGTGCACTATCGCAGGCACACTCAACATGAAATGGGCCAGAAAAGTGAAAACTAACCCACTAAGGTCATTCCTACTGCCAACCTGTTTTTTATGTGCCTCAATAGACACATAGAATACCACAATGGATATAACATGCACACACAAAGGCTATATAAATGACCTGAACTTGGGTATAGGGAGTACAATTTCCAAGTTTGCAGATGATACTAAGCTAGGAAAAGTAGTAAACAGTGAGGAGGATAGTAGCAGACTGCAAGGGGACATAGACAGACTGGTGAAATGGGCAGACACTTGGCAAATGAAGTTTAATTTGTGGAGAAATGCAAAGTGATGCATTTTGTGAGGAAGAATGAAGAGAGGCAATATAAGGCAATATAATATAAGTACAATCTTAAAAGTGGTGAAGGGTCATAGAGATCTGGGGGTTTATATAAATAAATCATTGAAAGTGGCAGGACAGGTAGATAAAGCTGCTAAAAAAGCATACCGGATACTAGGCTTTTTAAATAGGGGCATAGAAAACAAAAGTCAGAGCATTTTTTTAATGTCATCCTCGGTGTTTACTCTCCCTCCTAGTTTAGTGTCATCCGCAAATTTGGATATATTATGTTCGATGTCCTCATCTAGATCGTTGATG